GGTCGGCTCGCAGCAAGAGGGAGGAGAGTACAGTGTGTCCCATGAGATGGGAGGAHGAATGGAGGGAGATAAGGAGGGAAGTGATATTCAGGTTCTCAACTCGTATCCAGTGCGTTTGTTTTAAGAAAGGTTCTGCGTCATCTTATCGGGACAACATCAGTTAGTAAGTGGGCTTCTTCATCAGCATGTTCGTCAGCGACAGCTTTATCATCAGCTCGTAAGAGGGCATCTTCATCACCAGCTTCGGTTTTATCATCGTCGTCATCATCATCATCATCATCATCATCATCAGCGGTTGCCATCATCATCATCATCATCAGCGGTTGCCATCATCATCATCATCATCANCATCATCATCAGCGGTTGCCATCATCATCATCATCATCAGCGGTTGCCATCATCATCATCATCATCAGCGGTTGCCATCATCATCATCATCATCATCATCATCATCATCATCATCATCATCAGCAGCAGCAGCAGCAGCAGCAGCAGCAGCAGCAGCGTCATCCTCATCATCTCACCATCATCATTATCATCACCAGCATCATCGTCATTATCATCATCATCAACATCATCATCAGCATCAGCAGCAGCAGCAGCACTACTGACATCATCATCATCGTTATGAGCATCTTCATTGGTGCGTCATCATCATCATCATCATCATCATCATCACCATTATGAGCATCATCATCATTGGTGCGTCATCATCATCATCATCATCTTCATCATCATCATCATTATGAGCATCATCATCATTGGTGCGTCATCATCATGAACATCAGCATCTTATTTCCTATTTTATTAATCGGGAAGGTATTTTTTAAATACCTAGATTTCTTATTAATGTACGTTTCGATATGGTATTTTTKAATACYAAAGTTCTAATTCATTTTAGATTAATTTTTCCTTGTTTACTTCTTCATATTTCATAGTTCTCTATGAATGAGATTTTCATAATCCTATTGCATTATTAACTAATTATCTTCAACTCAAAAAAAAAAGGAATCGTTTCAGTAGTAATTTCGTTGGTGATCTTGCTAAGTTATGTTTCAATCATATGAGAGTTTACTTTCCTCCCTGGGTGGATGATGACGGTTGTTTCGAAGTTCGTGGTACGGGTGGAAAGGTGGGGAGAGTAGTACTCTGCAGGGGTGTCACAAGGAGGGAGGTGGCACTCTGAAGAGGGTGTGTGCAGAAAAGTTGAGGGTTGCTCTATTCTGGGGTTGGGGTGGATAGCCTCAGTGGGGGCAGAATAGGGTAAGCGGTCTGCAGGGGCATTCTTCTGGTGGGAGCTGAATGTCTCTTGGATTATAGCGAGGAAGAGAGGGGTTGTTCCAAGTTGGGGCTGAAAAGGAGGTCCTACATTGGAGGACTGTTTTCGGTGGAGGCAACAAAGGGACATAGGGGTAATGAGTAGAGGAGGGAGGGGAGGAGACTTTCAAAGTTTAAATTAACGTATCTTTATTCACAACAAAAAGAAAGAAGTCCACAGTCTTCATTGATGCTATATCAAGCTTTTTGGTGTTCAGTAATTCTTGGCAGCATCTGACCTTCTTCCTCATTCGGGAAATAGCATTTCAGAGATGGTCGAATCTGGACTGATTTCCGCAGAGTTGCTCTGTTCTATGCCTCTGGTTTGATGCCAGAACGACGTTGGCCGGAGCTGGGGTGTTGCCCTGTAATCTGCAAATTGCAGGAGTGTGAGGCCTTGTAGAGAGATCTGGGTTTTGCTGAGGGAGGAAAGCAATTCAGTGGCGAACTGGGGGGGGCTGCCTTGGCAACCTATGGGTCCAGGGATAGTCTAGGTGGCGAGAACAGGTCAGTTATGGTTGACATTGGTTAGGATGGCATTGTCTTTGAGATGTAATGTCCTGGTACAGGGAGGGTTAGGAGTTGTTATAGGATTAGGAGGCTAGAATTGCTGATATAGCATAGTCTTCTATAATTTTACATACTAATCATCATCATCATGATTATTTTCATCATAAAAATAAAAATAAAAAATCATAATCAGCATACTCATCATCATCATCATCATCATCATCGTCATCACATCACCAGTATCATCATCTGATTATTGTTATATTAAGCTTTTTGGTGTTCTGAAATTTTGGCAGCATCTAGCATTCTTCCACATCCGGGATATAGGACTTCAGAGATGGTTGAACCTGGACTGATATCTACTGAGTTGCCCTGTTCTGTGCCCTTGGTTTACCGATGCCAAAACGACGCTGGCCGAAGATGGGGCGTTGCCCTGTAACCTGTAAATGGCAGGAGTGTGAGGCCTTGTAGAGAGGTCTGGGGCTTGCTGAGGGTGGAAGGCACTCCAGTGGTGAACCGGGGGGGCCTGCAAGGAGGCGAGAAGAGATCAGCTATGGTTGATGTTGGTTAGGTTGGTTTTGTCACTGAGGTACAGTGTCCTGGTACAGGAAGGGCTAAGAGTTGTACTAGGATTAGGAGGCCAGAATAGCTGATATAGCATAATCTTCGATATTTTTTCATATATTTGAATCATCATTCTCATTAGCATCATTATCATCATGGTCATCATCATATCCATTTGAGGGATGCTGAGCCCGGTTCTCAGTAGTTTCGGTTCGATCACTCCGGGCAGACTGTGAGGACCCCGGCCTCAATCTTATTATTGGTAATATCAGCCTTGGGCACCGGGCCTGGATATTATTAAAAAAAAAAAAAAAAAAAAAAAAAAAAAAAAAGCATTCGCACCACTTCAAAACAACGGCCACAGTTTCACCCCCCTTCTGAACTTGTGCATTTTGAAACTCAAACAATGACATGGGCACCGCTTTGTCTTTTCTTGCCCATTTCAAACTAAAAAGGTGACTCAGGAGCAGTTTCCCCAAAAAAGAAGAAGACCGAGAAGGTTGCCTTTGTTGTGAGGGACGCCGGACCCGACGGCTTGTCTAATATAAAATCCTTGTTTCCAAAAAAAAAAGGCCCTTGGGGCATCTATAACAGACAGGCCTAGCTCTGTTGGTACACCCACGAACTACTGAATAGAGACCCGAGTTCAAATCCAGATGTGATCAGATGAACAGAATAACACACTTCAGAAGTACTTGGTGCTGGTCAGCTCAATGATAGAGCCATACAGAGAAGACTAGCATGGCCCCTGCGCAAGGATGACACATATAAATCGAGGGGGGGAAAAAAAGGCTGAGAATGGCCATGTGCAAGGATGACACATATAAATCGAGGGGGAAAAAAAAAAGGCTGAGAATTTGAGAAAGGTATACTGTTGCGGTCTTGAGAAGATTTGATCTTATAATTATCTCCTTTTTTTTTTCTCTTTTTTTTTAATCCCAGGTTTTTGTAGAGGTGGGATACTAGACAGATGGCAGTCACCCACAGTAGTCGGTTATTAGGTTGTCCAGATGAACCCCTGTGAAGACCCCACCCACCCTTCCTCTCGTCTTTTGCCCTGGCACACCCCTACCCCCAGTCCTACCCTAGTGTAAACCACCCAGGACCATCACCCATCACCATCTTGGCGGGGTGACCTGACCAGACATCGGTTACAGGCACCCGGGCTAAGCAGAGACCCCTAAGCTTCCCCCTGCTCAGCCCAGGTTGAAGCAGACACCATGTAAGCCCGATTGCACGGGGACTTCAGGAGCTAGGTATGAACATGCTACAACAGGTCTTCATGAGGGTGCGCGGCGACTCCCATCTAGCACAGTATTGATAGCCTAGTTGATAGCCTAGTAGATAGCCTAGTAGATAGCCTAAATTAAATTGATTGCCTAGTCGATAGGGGGATTGATACCCCTAGTTGATTGGTAAGTTGTTGTCCTAGATGATAGATGAGTTGATATCCCAAGTGATAGCCTAGTTTCTAGGCAAGTTGTAGTATGAGACAGAGAGCTGAAGATGCTCCGTTCCCTTGTAGAATCTTAGCCAGTGCTAGGGTGACAGATAACTCTTTCTAAAGGCAAACCCGGGTCTCACATGACAGGCCCGTGCGAGACCCAGCCGAGTGGTGGGACCCAGGCCCGGTTGGACAGGCTGACAGTGCTGGGATTCAGGCCTGATGGGACAGGCTGACAGTGCTGGGATGCAGGCCTGATGAGAGGCTGATGGTGCTGAGAGGCGGGCCTGATGACATCTTTTTTTAAGTTTTTATTATTATGATTATTAAATCATTATTTTTTTTTATTTTTTTATTTTTTTTTGTGGTTTTGTTCTCTTTGCCCTGGGGCCTCGTCCCACTATGGCCGATTTACGCTTGTGGTCCTCCGTTTTCGACCACGTGCGGCCGTCCGTGACATCCGTCAGTCGTTGACTGCTCGTGTGGATTCTCTGTATTTTTGTGGATGCAGCTGCCCATCGGCCAGTATAATTTTTTAAAATTCTTTTGTTGGCCATTTAGTTGGCCACTTTGCATTGGCGCAAAGCTTCAATACTTTGTTTTTTTTAGGGGGGTGGTGTTTTTGAAGCTTCGCGCCTTGCTATTTTGTTTTTGCCGACTTTTAGTAAAACGGGATGTCCTTCTACAATCGTGATTTGTGGTGTGCACTGACAGTCGAACGGGCCGTGGCAGACGGGGTCATAAAAGTATGGTGTCTCGTTGCAAGTGTGGGTGAATGTCGCCCGACTTTAGGGCGAAGTGCGTAGGCGCTGTCCGGCCTTAGTCTCCTATATGGGACACATGCACCCCCCTTCGTGCAGGTCGAAGTACACCGTACGTGCAGGACTTTCCGAATTAGGAAAGATTCGATTGTGGAAACGGTAGAGGACTGCACCTGCTTTCGCAAAGGAAAGAACTTCCGTGCGGCCCGCGAATACGGTCATGGGTGCACGCCAAATGCATGCTGTCCTCCATACCTCGGGATATCTGGTACCGCCCTGAACGAAACGCACATTTGTGGTGTGTTGCTGCTGTGCTCCGCACGTCGGGATCTGGTTGTCGTCTCCTCTCCGTTTCTCTCCGTCTACCGGCTCACTGCAGTTCGTCACTGTACACCGTCGACTTACTGAACAGGGAAGAGGACACATCGCTTCTCCATGGCCCAGTACACCCAGAGCACAGGTCTGTCTTGTATTGACGACTGGGGGTGGTCCGAATCCCAGAATGACGCCCCGCCTGCTGCAGGTTCCGTACCAGCAAGGAGTGCGGGGCCCGTCTGTGGTGCGGAATACGCGAAGGTCACGGAGTGTGCGGCCTTTGCACCGCGTTCCCAGGTTGTGACAGGCACTCCTGCTTTGTCGTCGCCAGTGACGCCTGTTCGCGGGTTCAGAATCGGGCTAGGCGGTGATGATGAGCACACTCTCCGACAGCGTCTGAGAATGCGTGCAATGGCTATGGCCGACGGGCTCACCCCGGCCATGGACAAACGGCCCGTGGGTGGCTATGAGACGTCTCAGGCTCGCAATGCAGGAAGCCAGCATGGCAGTCCCGGTCCATCGAGTGTTAGTTCTGTGAACACAAACACGATGCCGTCCCAACAGTCAGGTGCTCCCAGTGCAATGCTGCCGGTTGGGCACGGGAGTCCTCGGGCGTCGTCAGAACCGTTGTGCGATGGTGCTCTTGGGCAGCAGGTCAGTCAGTATGCCACGTCATCTGAGTACGTCCTCAACTGCATCATTAATGACATAGAGGCTGGTGTCAACCCGACGGAGCATGTCGATGCTGGGCGTGACGGAGGTCAGGTTGTTGCCTCGCAAACAACCCCGTCAGACACACCTCCCCGGTGTGGATCGTCCGGCGGTGCAGCTGCGGGCACTCCGCCCCCAATGAGCACGGAATCCGGGTCGCATCACACACCTCCCCGGTGTCCATCTTCTGGAGGCGTTGCTGCGGGCAGCCCATCCCCACTAACCGGGGATGGGTGTTCTCACACACCACCCACCACATTACAAGGCCCGGGAACGTCTGCGGGAGGGCCATCTGCGGGCCACCCTCCACGACCGTGTCAGGTGGAGAAGAATACGGATCGGTGGGGGGAGACCAAAACTGAGTGGTTGTGCTGGTGCAGAAACGAGGCGAAGGCGTTGATGGGGGAAGAGACGGAAGCGTTCGGGCGCGCGAGGCTAAAAGCTGGTTTTTGGAAATATGAGGAAGAGCGCATGCGTGCGAAGGGTTACAACCGTGCAGACGACCAGTGCAAGAACAAGTTCAACCAGATCCTTGACTACTATAGAAGATTGAAGGCGCACGAGAGATGGTCCGGTTTGCCGAGCTACTGGGACATGAATCAGACAAGGCGGAAGAAGTACAACGTCGACTTTGTGCTTCGTCGAAGTTGGTACGACGTCATACACCCGGTGGAGAAGGACAAGGACTCTATTAACCTCTCCAATTTGATGGATTCAGGGGCGGACGAGGAGCGTCTTGAAGATGGAGAGGGGGTGAATGACGGTGATGGCGAGATGGATGGTGATGGTGGAGATCCGACGGTCGGGTCTGGCAGTTCGGCCGGCGGCTCACGGTCGACAGGTTTCGACCCAACGCTCGGTAAACGAAAAAGAACTGCCAGCAATGCACGTGAATCTGGTGTAGAGGCTGTGACAGCTGCCATGCGTGCTCACACGACAGCGCTGACACGATCAGACCTCACTATCGCGAAGATGCGTTGTGAAGCAACACGTGACATTGCTAAGCAGCAGGCCGAGGTTCATCGCGAGCTTGTGCAACAAACAGCCATTTCGTCAAAATGGACATATTATATTTTTTGAACGAAATCAAAACTGATTTTTTTTGCCAAAATCCGGTCGGAATTTTTTGCTCTTGGGGGTCCGGCGTTCCCAAAACGCCGGACCCCCCTGGTCTATGGTTGAGACCAGATACAAAAAAAAAAAAGAAAAAAGAAAAAAGAAAAAAAAAGTATCTGGTCTCAACCATAGACCAGAGGGGTCCGGCGTTTTGGGAACGCCGGACCCCCAGGATCAAAAAATTCCGACCGGATTTTGGCAAAAAAAGTCAGTTTTGATTTCGTTCAAAAAATATAATATGTCCGTTTTGACGAAATGGCTGTTAACAAGACATTGCGCCGCGCGAAAGGATAGCTAACATAATGGGGGACAAGGTGGCGAAGGGTTATTTCGTACTTGCTGATGCCATTCGCAGCTTACGTCCTTACAAACAGTCCATCTGGTGATCCGGATAACAACGAATCCCGGTAGTCCATTTCTGTTGCGGCTCGTGATGGCAGTCAATGTATTTATTGATTTTATTGGTTTGTGACACTTTGTCTTCTGTCGATTTCTTATTTCAACTCTGTTTTTCGGGAGTTTTGTGCTACATCAGCACAATGTCACCATCTTTCGCGGTTGTACCATACTATCCATACGAGACGCATGTGTGTGTCTGTGTTTTAGGGTTCATGGGTGACTGTTCGGGTGACTATGTGGTTGACTGTTCGGGTGAAGTCCGGTTGACAAGACACCGCGTGTTCGGGTGACTATTCAGGTGACTGTTGGGGTGAAGTCCGGGTGATAAGACACCACGTGTTCGGGTGAAGTTCGGATTAAGTTCGGGTGAAGAGTATTTCGTTGCTGCTCGGGTCACAACACACCGCGTGTTCACTGACCGCAAGAGTGCGTACACAACTGAAGAGAAAAGAGAGAGAGAGAGAGAGAGAGAGAGAGAGAGAGAGAGAGAGAGAGAGAGAGAGAGAGAGAGAGAGAGAGAGAGAGAGAGAGAGAG